TACGAGGCCGTATGCTTGAGCTCTGGGTTGGTCGACTCAACCTGCGTCGGCGGGAGGGGCGTCGGATGAAGCGGGCTCGACCTCGCTCGACCTGGAGGCGGCTCCGGGTGGGGGAGAGAGACAGGGAGTGGGCGAGGGGCGGCTCGCAATGGCACACGACGGAGAGACGGTTCGGCGAGCCCGGTCTCTTGGCGCATCTCGGCTGCATCTCGGCTGCATCTCGGCTACAGGTCGCACGATGGAGAAGTCGGCGTGCTCCTTGTACTCGAGCGCGTCGAAGCCCTTGAGCACAAACTCGAAGAGCGTGCGCAAGTTCTCGGGCGAGGGCGCCGTCACGAAGATGTTTGCGTAGCCGTACGCGACGGCGGCCGCGAGGGAGAGGCCGAGGGCGGCCGACTTGCCGCGGCCTCGCGCCGCGGTGAGCGCCACCGTGCAGCGGAGTGACTTGTCCGCCGCCGCCTCGACGAAGGTGAGGAGCGCCTTTGCCTGGTCGACTGTCCGCACGGTCTGCACGATCGAGCCGACCGGCTGCGTCTCTCGCAGCGACCGCTTCAGCTCGCGCAGCTCGGGTGAGTCGCTTCCCGTTGAGCCGGCGGCGGGGCGGCCCTCGGCCGCCTCCGCCTCGTCGCCGTCGGCAGGCACGCCCTTGGAGACGGGCGTGATGGCTGCGGCGTGCGACGAGATGGGCAGGATGTTGAGCTCGTCGTCGAGCACCTATGAATGATGAACCATGAGTCATGGGCCGTCGACCCGTGGTGCGCAGGGTGCTGAGCTCGTCGAGCACGAGGCAGGAGCGGCACGAGGCGAGAGAGAGGATGAAGCGCTCGTTGAAGCGCGGCTGCACGTCGGCGTGCGCCTGTGGTTCACACACCCTGTGGTTCACGCCTCGAGCTGTGGAGACACCCCACGCCCTGTGGCCCCGCCACGGCTGCGGCTGCGCCTCTGTGCGGAAGCGAGCGTGCGCGTCCATCGTCATCGTGTAGAGCTGGCGCAGCGAGTCCATCGACTTGAGAAGCATCACGACGATGCCGCCGCCCTGGAGCAGGCGGGGTGGCGCGGCGGTGAGGCGGTGAGTGGGCAGGAGGAGAGGCGGGAGCCGGCAGGCGGAGAGGGGGCAGGAGGATGGGGCAGGCGGAGAGGGGGCAGGAGGATGGGGCAGGCGGAGAGGGGGCAGGAGGACAGGCTGGAGGAGGAGAGGCGGTGGGCAGGCATTCTGTGTGCGACGACGCGCAGCCGCACGCGCATCGCCGCAGCATGGCGGGCGGCGGCGCGGCCGTGGCGGAATTTCCGCTTCGGGCTTGGATGAGCACGCAGCGAAAGGGAGGCGCTGCGCCCCGTGGCTGATGCCCAGCGAGTGGCGTGCGGCTGCTTGGCTGCAGAGCGGCGGTCGTGGGTGCGAGGCTGGCGCGAAGGCGTGGCGCGCCTCGACAGTCTCGACGGTGCGGGCCAGCACGTTTGGCGTCACCGCCTCGAAGTCCTGCAGCACGAGCATGCCGAACGTGTTGCCGAGCACCCGCGTCGTCTCGCGGTAGTAGCAGTACGTGATGGACGTCGAAGAGATGAAGAGCTCAAACGGGTCGTCCTTATCCGGATCGATGAGGCCACGCGCCGCCATTTTTTTTATGTGGCGCATACGCTTCTTGCGGTGTGTGGTGAAGCCGAGCTCCTTCTTGTAGCACCAGAGGACGGACGGGCGGGCCCGAACGGCGGCCTTGGAAAGCATGTAGTGCAGGTTCACGACCTGCTCGCGTGCGCTGTCGCCGACGATGACAAAGAGGCCGCGGTGGCGCAGCGCGACGGAGTTCTCGATGAGCGTGCGGACCCGCGCGTCGACCTTCTTCCGCATCGTGCCCTGGCTCGTCCCTGGCTCGTGGCCGCGTCGCCCGTTGTGTGCCGCGGCAAATAAAGAATTCCGGATGCAGGGTCCGTTGTGTTTATTTATTTATTCCAACAAACAAAGACGACGAGGTGGAAACCGTTCTTGCGTTGGCCCGCTGCGCGATTCGATGCGTTGGGGGCGTTTGGACACGTCCCAACAACCGTAACGGCGTCCTTGTGGATGGGGTGCGGGGCCAGCACGCGGCGGCCGCGGCAGCCGCCGGACCTCGAGCCCGAGCGCGCGCCTCCGCCAGAGAGCCCATCCAAGGTCGACGAGATCGCCGCCGCAGCCGACCAGGGCGATCAACTGCCAAGCCCGCGGCCAAAGGCAGCTGGGCCTGGGGACGGAGCCACGGTGCAGGACGACTGGGACGACTGGGACGAGGAGGAGGCCGACGAGGCAACCGCTGAGGAGGCGGAGGTCTCGGCAGTGCGCGTGGTGCAGCCGTCGGGGGCAGTCGCCTGTGCAAAGGGCGGCGGCAGCGCCCTCCTCTGCGGCTCGGCGCTCGACTCGGCCGTCAACGCGCGGCTGTCCTGCACCTCTTGTGGGTACCGCGTGCTGAGGCTGCCGCACTCGCGCTGGGCGCCGGACGTCGACTACTACTGGATGCGGAACTTCTGTCCCGATGGGCGGATGCCCGGCCGCTGGGACGAGGACTTGGCCAAGCTCTGTGCAAAGCTGGTCGCTGACGACGAGGCGGCCGCCTACGCCTGCGGCTGCTCCTGGCAATCGGTGGTGGGGGAAAAGGAACTGGGCGGCGCCGGTGGAACGCCAGCGATGCCGCATGGTGGTGCACGCCTCGAAAATTGTGAGGCGCAGCTTCTGAACTGGGTCGTGTCATACTCATGAGGCCCCTGAGCCCTGTCTCGTGACACGTGAGTCCTGTCTGTAGTCTGTACAGACATGCTGGTTGCGTCGTGTGTTTGTCTCCTGTTTGTGCGGTAGTTGAAAACCTCAGAGATCGCGCCGCCATTGTTTTGCACGTACGAGACAGGGACAGCAGCGCATGAGCGCAATACACCAGCCTGTGAGGTGTGTGACCGGAGTGTCGGGCTCCGGGGAGAGGAGCGCAGCAGAAAGAGCCGAAACCCCCCCACAGAACGCGCCACAGAATAGTCTCTCAGCAAAGCGGCCCCGCACAGCGGCTCAATAAGCGCTGCCCCCGATGGCTTCTTGCACAGCGTCGATGCCCGCCTCCTCCAAGCTGATCTCGCCACTCGCACTGCCCTTCTTTTCTCATCCCTCAGGAATTCCTCCACGTGCGCATGCGGCCAGACGTGGCGTGTGCTTCCTGGCTCGAGAAGGCAGCGCCAATGTATTCTTCGCCGCTCGAATCAGAAAAGAACTTGGGGACTTGCACGATGTCGCCGACCGCCACGTAGTCTCGCAGAAGGCCTGGCCCTTGGGTAGAGATTTTTAGGCAATACAAAACAACTCTAACACTTTGGTAACCTCTAATAAATAAATAGAGCAGACCTCTCCTGGAGAGATGGGCGACGCACGAACCCGAGGGCTCGCGTTTTTTTCTGCGGCGCTTGAAACACGAAAAAGCACCGATCGTTCTGCTTTCGTTTGATGTATTGCTGCTCCAGCAAAGAACAAAACGTCCTGGAGCCGCACAGCGAGCCGCACGGCGAGCCTGGCGAACCCAGCGAGATTGGCGAGGGTCGAGAGACGGCGGATCCTGCGCCACAGCCGATTTGCAGGGCAGGAGCTCAAGAGCGGACGCCCCGCTTCCGCTCGTCTTGGGCGCCTTGCCCGCCCTCGTTCACGGACTCGCTAGGCTCCGCGCGGACGCCTCAACCCAGCTTCATCGCCGCGTCCGCGTACGAGCCGAGCTTCCTCGAGCGACTAATGGCTGGGCGGGTGTCCCGCTTCCGCTCCAGCTGGGCACCATGCCCGCCGTCATTCACGGACTCGCTCGGCTCCGAGGTCACGCCTCGTCCGAGCTTCATCGAGTCCGAGGGCTTTGATGTGCAGTACGATGAGCCGAGCTTCCTCGAGAATGCTCTCGCCAGGTGTGTGCCACCGTGCCTCCCGCGGTGTGTCGACGGCGTGGCGGAGCGGCTCTCCGCGCGCGACGCCGAGGCGGACAGGGCGCTCGAGAGGCGGGCCGGCGAGGCGTGGCAGACGCTGGCGTGCGGTCTGCTCGATCGCGAGCGCACGCAGGCAAGAGCGCCATACAAGCCCTTGCGCAGCCACGCCCAGCCGACTAACCAAGCGAGCACGGCGGACCTGCTCTCGATGCTCCCGCCGATGCGAGACGTAGCCTCGGCGGACCTCCTCAGCAGCATGCGCCTCTCCACGGTGAGAGGTAAGTGCGTGGATGAGCTCATCCAGTCGGACCCCTTTTCCACCGCCAGGGGACTGCATTGACAGCTTGTGGCAGCATTGCGCGTCGCGCACGTGGCGCGCGCGGCTCTCCCCGACCCCCTCCATTGGTGTGGTGGGAACTAAGAGGGTGGGGATAGAGTAGCTCGCCGCTCTTCGTCCTTATACTGGGTGTCGCGAGAGAGCTGCCCGTGGCGTGCTCAGAGCGGCGCCCGGCGGGCGCACGGCGCGCGCGGCGGCCGGCGCGCGCCGCCCCGCACACGCATGCGCACAACCAGCTACCTCCACGAACCACACACAACCTCAACCAGGCGAAAGACGTTGGCCATCAGTGCTCGAACTTTACCGGTATGAGACCGGTATTTGGTGATATTTTGATTAACTTTGAAGTGGTATATGGTATAGTGGTATGCGAAAAGTGGTATGCGGAGTGTTGATTAGTGTAGCGGCTGTGGGTGTGGTCCCAGGAGGCGAAGCCATGCAAAAGTGCGGGTATTACCCGGGTATACCTGGGTTTCTGCAGGTATACCCGCAAAATACCGGGTATTTTGCCGATTTCGCCGATTTAGCTACAAAAATGCACTCGGACTCGCTTTGGTTTCCGTGAGGCAGGTGGTATCCCATACCACTTTTTGATTAGTGCAGGCCTAGGGTTTGATTAGCCAAAAACTCCCATAGGCTAGTTCCATTTCACTGTGGCACAGCTCGCGTTACAAAACCTTGATTTTGACCACATTTGCGCACTATTGTACCTCTCGGTGCCTTCCAGAGGCAGCTGCGACCCCGCCGAGTAGACGGCGTCACACAGCAGGTGGCGCGGTGTGACGCCGTCCACTCAGCGGGGTCGCAGCAGCCTCTGCGCGTCCTGGGGAGGTACATTTGTTGCGCGCCGGAGACGACTCGACGCCGCTGAGATCGGAGATCAAGCTCGGACAGGTCGCACGTCGCTCCTTTGACGCCGACGTGACTCACCCGTGCAGATCACATCAGGACACGGTCTCGACACGCTCGGTACGACGCCTGCGACCCCTCTCGGGTCAGGTGGCACGACGCTCATCGCGCCTGCCAGCGCTGCCGTGCAGGTTGCCACGACGAGGTCGAGCACGCTTCTATACGCTCGCCGAGCCTTCCTTTCCATCCCATTAGGCAGCCTGGGAACGGTGGCGGTCAGAGGCAAAGCCTACGAGGGGTGGTGGAACCACATGTCACGGCTACTGCCGGCTCGACCCCACGATAGCCTCCGAAGGCTGACTTTGCGGCACCATCATCGGACGATGTCGACGAGTTGGGTCGCTCTCGCGGTAGCCAGATGACCTCCCATGCTAGTATCATCGGCTAGGGCCGCAGGAAGCGCGGGGGAGGGCGCTGGGAGCAACACGGAGCTCCGTTGGACGTTTTCAAGATTAGCGTGTCAGAGTGAAATGGAACTAGCCATACCGGTAAAGTTCGAGCACTGTTGGCCATATGGCGAAAGGGCCGAGAGGAAAGGGCCCCTGGGGGCGCAGGTGTCGTAATATCAGCGATCAGAGTACGCTAGCTCGTCAACCACATCCCCACCCGACGAGGCCGCACGCCTCCTCCTCCTCTCTTCCCCCCCCCCCCCCGCGCGGTTCTGACACACACACGTCGACGTGGCACAGCGCACACGTGGGAGAGACGAGACCCACACACGCCCCTAATAGTAATACGATCCAAACACACCGACACATCACACTCAAGCGCCCGCCGCCCCGCGGTAAACGATGTCGATCCTCACGCGCCACCCTGCCGCCGGAAGGCGGAGGCGAGCCACCCTCCCCACCCCGCGGGGGCCTGCCCCTCACTCGAGCGCACAACCATCGGCGCCCTCTCGCCGCGGCCCTGCGCCGCCTCCTCGCTGCCTGCCCCGCGCACGACGGCGAGGGGCACCATCACGGGGGTGGCCGTCGGCGGCTCGTGCGCCTGAAGCTCGTCGCCCCTCCGGCGCAGCCTTCTCGCAACGTAGCAGAGGACGAGCCCTCCCGCGCCGGCGAGCAGGCCGAGCGCATCTGCCGCGCCGAGGGCAGAGCG